CACACACACACACACACACACACACACACATACACACACACCTAGGTCGTCACAACATGCGTTTTTGGATTTGCATATACGCAAAAACTCATAAAAATGGCATATGTACATTAAAATAGCAAGACAAAAAATTTTTCGAAACCTTCACTTCTAAAAAATCACTGCTTGACCAATTCTTCCCTTCCTGCGCAACTCAAACATAGTTCAGAATGGGTCGCGCTTGGAGGAGGCCAGACTGGTTGGTCTTCCTCTTCCATGCTATGGGTCATATATGTTGCGGTTTTTCCAGTCGAAGTCATCATCATCATTATCGGCATCGGTGGATGTGTCGGATGCGCAGCTCGAAAGCAATCAATCATACGGTACTGGGAATCAGCGATGATCATATGTTAGCTGTTATTAATACTACTGTAATATTGTTGCCAGATGGCGTCGCTCTGCTCTCTTGAGCAACTTTACGCGATAACTTTTTCTAGCACGGCTTCTTTTAATAACCCTACTGAAAGCGCACGAGGAGAACTAGCAGCACTGCTTCCTAACACTACAGTCGTCATCACCGCAATCATCATCTCCTCCATCCCTCTCCTCGAGAAATAAAGTGAAAATTCGTCCCCTTTTCCTCTCCTTCTCCATACCTCATCCTTTCTGCACCTCTCAAGATGTTCTGCGACGCCCCATTTTCTGCTAACATTAGCAACCGGCAACACTACAGCTACCAACCTCAGTGTGATGTGAGTGAGATCCCCGTTCGAAGCGCCAGCATGTCTAGGAAGCCTTTCAGCATTGAATATCTCATCGGCGATACAGTAACCGGCGAGAGTGGCGACAACTGCGATTCAGACATCCAAAATTATGGCGCCAGATCCGCCTCACCTAGAAACTCCAGACTGTCAGGGGGAAATCCGCGATGCGAAAGTGAAGGAAGCGGCGGGGACTATGCGCTGAAAAAGAAATTAAGTGCGGCGCTGCAGGACTATCATCCAGCATTGCGCAATGTATCGATGCGTCTAGAAGGCTCATCGCTATGGAATAAATTCCATGCTTTCGGCACTGAAATGATTGTTACCAAAACTGGAAGGTAACTGTGCTTCTTTATTTTCGTAAAAACACTCTGATAAGCGTTTTTTTTTTTTGCTTTTTTATGCGTTTTGTATATATGCATGCATATTGGAAAGAGGCTGACTGTGTGTATGTTCGCACTTTTTTTCACTCAATTTCAACTCGAGAACCAGAAAAGCTAGAAGGCTGAAGCTTCAGGAGTATGTGCCCACATCATGGTGCGACTCTCTCATTTTAATATCATCACCCTTGTAAGCCGAGGTGCCATACACGGGCGACTTAGAAAATATGCGAATTTTTTGGCGAGAAAACGATCTCGGGAACCAGAAAAGAAAGAGAGCTGAAACTGAGCAAAAATATTCTCTGTGCATATTTGAGCTAAAGACTTCAAATTCAGCCTGCACTTGTTTATAGTACTCACGTACTGGCATGTGGAATTTTTAGAGAAAAAGTTACTAAGTTGGAAACCAGAAAAGCTAGAAACCTGAAATTTTACGACAATATTCCCTGTCCAAGTACAGTTTAAATGTTCTAAACAGCCTCCGAGTGTGAATAGTTTTCCTGTACTGGCAATTAAAAATTTTGGCAGGAAAATTGCTCACTGAACAGCCAGGTCTTTTTCAAAGAACGACCATTGAA